CCTATCTTTCTTTCTTCCCCTCTTAGCGCTGCTCTTTCTGTCTTTCTTTCCTTTTGTTTCTAAGGCTTTTTAGGTGACTATTTAGTTTTCTCACATGCGCGCAGAAAAAGCGCCGAAGCCGGCGACCTGTGTGTGTCCACCCCTGGACAAAGGGTTTTCCACCGCTACTCCTTCCACAGTTTTTCAACCACCTTGTTCAACCACCTTCTACAGGCAGGGGAGTGGAGCAGGCCTGCAGAGCTCCACTTAACAAAGCTCTCTGCAGTGTCCTGAGGATATCGGCCAGGACGCTGGCCGACGTATTTGCTCGTTCTTTCACAAGCTGTTACACCACTCTTCCGCGTTTTGTTTCATGGTCCTTCATGTTTCCTCCCCCCAAACCTTTTCCTCCCCAGCAGCGCTGCAGCTTGAGCCTTTTCGTCACCGCAGTCAAGGGAAACAGCCATTGTTCAAACACCTACAATTTTTTCTCGGACTTTTCGCCATGCCGTTCCATCACCTTCCTTCTCAACGTGGTGATTGAGTTAACTGAATACAAGTGTCAGAGTGTGTGCCACCCTCCGTTTCCAGGAGTTTCGCAGGGGGCGTGACGGTCGATTTCCTAGTCACGCCAAGGCAACGAAGCTATGGAAATCGACTGGATGGAAGTTTGGACGCAAACTTCTGTACCTGCGCTGACGGAACTTTTGCACACGCTGTGACTCCACTCCCTAAACAGGTTTCCTTCAGCCGACTTTGGTTATGCAGCTGCAGTTGTGCGATTGAAACTCTTTTGTTAACATCTACAAGTGCGCGGACTTGCCACCATTCCGTTCTTTCACTCCTTTCGACGTGGAACAGAGTTAACTGAGCTGCAGTTGTGCGATTGAAACCATTTTGTTAACATCTACAAGTGCGCGGACTTGCCACCATTCCGTTCTTTCACTCCTGTCGACGTGGAACAGAGTCAACTGAAAACCCTGTGGCTAAGTGTGTGCCGCTCTGTCGTCCCACTGGGTGCAGAGTGTGATCTCCCGCAAGGGAGCGATGAGACCATCGGGACTCACATATTGACTTTGCGCTTTTGAGCACTGGGATTATAATATTGTATTGAATTGTTTCACCCATGAATCTTCTGACCCCAATGCTGCCGAGCTACGCATCCCTCTAATTAGAGTAACAGTGGGAAATGGTACTCGACACACTTGTGTGTCGGTGTCTTTCCCTCTGTTGTCCCTGTTCTAGTCTACTCTACCCGGCCGGTTTAAGACTAAAGTCCCGCTCCCTAACTATTGCACCTAATTAGGGTCCGCTAAGTAGTTACCTAACTAGAGTGCTAAATATTCAGACACACACCTTTCTCTCTTGCGCTTTCTTCGTTTTCTAGTTTTTCTTTCAGGCTTGTTAGGTGGTTCTTGAGGCACAATTCCCTGCCCCTCTTCGGTCAAGGGCTACGTAGTCAAGTGCTAAGTAGTCACATTTTTCCGCTACTCCTACCTTTCCTTCTTGCCCGTTTTGCTCTTTCTGTCTTTCTTTTTCTTTCCTAAGGCTTTTTTAGGTGCCATTCAGGTTCTGCGAGAGAGCGCCGCGAAGCGGCCGGGTGTGTGTGTGTGTGTGTCCACACCTGTCCCTAAGGTTTCGAGTCACAAAGGACGCTACTAAGGGCCCCCCGGTTTCGCTACTAAAGGCTCCTAGTATCGCTATTAGCGTACAGCTTGTCAATTTTTTAACATGTACAAAGCGCGCGAAAAAGAAGCAGGGGGATGAGGATCCCTTGGTGTGCCTCATCTAACAAAGACCGCACCAAGTGGATGTGATATCAGTGCCCGGCCAGCACTGACGTACCTGCCTTTCAATTTTTAAACCTTTTCTGCAGTCACGCATTGAGCTTTTGGCCTTGCTTCCTCTTCAAGACCTCCAGGCCCCAGAGGTTTATAGTCGCTTCCTCTACTCGCTCGAACGTTGAGTTCTGCAGACTTGCGAAACAGCTTTTGTTAAAACATCTTCAAGTATTGCGGACTCTCCACCATACCGTTTCTCACCTTCCTTCCCATCGTGGCAATTGAGTTAACTGAAAACCAATGTCAGAGTGTGAGCCGCTCAGTCTTCCACTTGGGTGCTGGGTGTGACCCTCCGCACGGAGGCGCTGTTATCATTCCGGAATGCATCGGTTTTTCATTCTCATAACTGTTTCCTGGGTGTTCACTTCCATAACTGAATTAACGGATTTTCGAGCCGCCGGGCTATAAACGATGGAATTCCTTTTTGACAGACTGAATCCACTTGCACCGTCATGTGTCGTTATGAGTCACTATATGTTCCGACTTCGAACTTGCAGTAATGTCTAGTGTCAGTCACTTTTTTCCCCCCCTACCCCAGGCCTCTGTTGCTATCCCACCTGCTATTCGGGAAACAAAAGGAAATCGCACTCAACACACTTGTGTGTTGGTGCCTTTCCTTCTGTTTCTCCTGTCTATTGCTAGCTACCCGAGCGGTCTAAGACAAAAGTCCCGCTCGCGAACTACTTTCATTTAACTAAGTGGGCCTCGTCACTATGCCTATCTTTCCTTCTTGCCCTCTTAGTCTGCTCTTGTTTTGTTTTCTTGGTCTGTCTTTCTAAGGCTTTTTAGGTGACTAGTAGTTTTTCCGGAACGCCAATATTGGCGTTATGTGTACAAAGTTGTTGCCAACAGATCGCTACTAGGAGCAAGGACGGTACTACTATAGGGGCCTCTGGCCGGTCTACGGGGAGCAAGGACGCTACTAGGGACTTCTGGCCTCGAGTACGGCGCCGTGTGTGTGTCCACACCTGTCCCTAAGGTTTCGAGTCACAAAGGACGCTACTAAGGGCCCCCGGTTTCGCTACTAAAGGCTCCTAGTATCGCTATTAGCGTACAGCTGGTCAATTTTTTAACATGTGCAAAGCGCGCGAAAAAGAAGCAGGGGGATGAGGATCCCTTGGTGTGCCTCATCTAACAAAGACCGCACCAAGTGGATGTGATATCAGTGCCCGGCCAGCACTGACGTACCTGCCTTTCAATTTTTAAACCTTTTCTGCAGTCACGCATTGAGCTTTTGGCCTTGCTTCCTCTTCAAGACCTCCAGGCCCCAGAGGTTTATAGTCGCTTCCTCTACTCGCTCGACCGTTGAGTTCTGCAGACTTGCGAAACAGCTTTTGTTAAAACATCTTCAAGTATTGCGGACTCTCCACCATACCGTTTCTCACCTTCCTTCCCATCGTGGCAATTGAGTTAACTGAAAACCAATGTCAGAGTGCCACCCTCCGTTTCCAGGAGTTTCGCAGGGGGCGTGACGGTCGATTTCCTAGTCACGCCAACGCAACGAAGCTATGGCAGCTATGGAAATCGACTGGATGGAAGTTTGGACGCAAACTTCTGTACCTGCGCTGACGGAACTTTTGCACACGCTGTGACTCCACTGTACCTTTCTTTGCTTCTATGGTAGTTCTGCACGATACCTCCCTAAACAGATTTCCTTCAGCCGCTTTCAGCCGACTTTGGTTTTGCAGCTGCAGTTGTGCGATTGAAACTTTTTTTGTTCAAACATCTACAAATGCGCGGACTTACCACCATTCCGTTCTTTCACTCCTTTCGACGTGGAACAAAGTTAATTGAACACCCTGTGACTAAGTGTGTGTGCGTGTTTCATGCTCGCTCTTCAATACTCAGCCGCGCTGTATCAAATTACACTGCAAAAGCTCAAAACAATTATTAACTACTTTATCTACAACGGGACAGGTCGAGAAAAGCAGTCTGGGAACCAAATAATCAAATAATCCGTATGTTTATCTCAGTAGTCACTAGCAACACTGGATTACATGGATTTACTGGTTTGTTGGTGGTGGTACGCTGACATACCTCATGTGGAAAACCAAACGGTGAAAGGAATTCTTTCCTTATTCTATATAGTTTGCATGTTTAGCTTGGCTAATTCGGGTTCCAAAAGGCTGCTTGCTTGAGTTCCCATAGGTCTCAGAAAAGCATCAACGAAAAGCAAGCGCAAGTCTCTCATGAAAAGCATCAACGAGCTCAGCCAATACTTAGCGTGCTCACCCTCAAGACACTGAAACAAGCTAACTACGTTCGCAAAAGACTCCACCACCCAACAATGCTTAACACGCCCGGCCATCCGCACTCAACTTCCTCAATCAAACACCGCTCCACCGATCATGTCATAGCAAGATCTGTTACAAAACACAGCCACAACCAATGCCGAACGCAACAAGCCTGGTCACAAAAGCCCTTCCAACCAGGGTAGAATCGAACAAATAGACTTAAGTTCTTGGATTCTTAAGTGTTCTTGAATTTTCTTTCCATTGCCTATATATTACTATATATTGTATGTCATGGGAAATGCAGTTGAGGAGAGCTCTGACAAACGTGGACATCCACTGGGCCCCTGCATCTGCTGTATACAGGCTTTCCTTGTTTTGGCTGAGCGGCACCCCAGCTTCATGCCACAGTAGATAGAGTGCGTCGGCACAGGGGCCGGTAAATCTGTGGCCCCAGTTGACCCAATTGACCCGGTTGAAATACAGGACTGATGTATGTCTTGATGTTAGAATGCTAGACTCTCTTGGACTTGTTCTCCTCCATTGTCGAACGCAGAAATTCACCCTCCCCGCGCGCGCCTGGCTTTAGATCTTGGTTGTAGACCACGGTTTCCATCTCTGTGCCGAAGCTCTCCTCGTAGTTATCCACATCTTCCCAGACTTCTGCAGAGTACTCCCTGGCCAAGCGCATCCGCCGTGCGGCGGCAACCGCTCTGTGGGCCCGATCCGCTTTGCGCTCAGCGTCTCGCTCACGTGCGACCTGGTCTCTCTCACCCACCAAGGAGAGCCATTGAAGGCCCATAAACCTCCGAGTGGCCCTGGCTGCTTGTGGTGTATTCAGGTTGACGGGACGGCCAATGATGCTGGTCAACCACCTCTGTGCTTCTGCCATGGAATAGTTGGCATAAGCGTTCCAAACCACAGAAGAACGGTAGTGAGCAACTCCATAGGCCAAACCACGGCGCAAGCTGTCCAGGGTGAGCTCTTGGGGGGAACACTTGTCATCTGCACCTGGATCTTTGAAAGCACCAGATTCATAGTGTTCTTCAATGTGAGCCAAGTTGCTCTCATCTCCTGCATAAGCCGCGGCCGATGCCACGAGGTGTCCAAAGGCACGGGTGGCCGCAGAGTTGAAGGCTGCATCCGAGGAACCACTCAAAGCACTCCGGAGTTCCGCGCAAGCTGCAGCCAAAGGAGCCAATGGCTCAGAGGCAGCAAAGGTTTCCGCTGTCTGCTGCATGGCCTATGATGCGGTTTGGTGGATAGTCATTTTCTGAAGGCCTACCATTTACAAGTGCGTGACACATGGTTTTGGGGTCACTGGCCTGAACCTACACAGATTGAATCGTACAATCTCTGCTATTTCGACATCAGAGTGACTCTCAAGGTTGCTGCCATATTTCTTGCGTGGATGCCCACAAGCTCCATGGGAAAAAGAGTTGTGTTCCACCATTGCGTAAGGATGACTTTCACCCGTAGATCAGCACTGTACTCCAGCAGGTCACCAAGTCTCCTTAGAAACTCTCGGTGTCCGAACTGAATGCTGTATTTTGCCAGGAGCCGGTCGTCACTTGGCAAAGCTTCGTAGAAGCTTCGAGCTGCAAATTTAAAAGAAGCGATAGTTCGCTGAATCCGCACTGCCAGGGAGGAGTTGAAACTGTACACCGACTCAAGGAGGTGCCCTGCTGCCTCCTCCAAATGAACAATGGCCGTGGCATTCAGAGTCGCCGTAGGGGCTGGTGAATTGAAGGTAGTGGCAGCCTGTTGCAGGAAACTCTCTGCCGTGGCGAAACTGGCAGGTCCAGACGCGTATGCATCAGCCGCAGCAGTTAGGTGAGCAAGTGCTGCACCGAGCACAGTTTGCATGCTCAACCCAAGCTCCTGAGTAAAGTTGCCGTAGGCATGTCGGGTTGCGTTGAGGGCAACCTGCACTTTGTGCAGGGTGGCTCTTGTGTTTGCTAGTGACTGGTGCGGGCCAAGGCGCAAGTCTTGTGCCATGCCATGTATTTCGGCTAGAGCAGCTTGCACAGCAAGCCCACCTGAAGCATAAGCCACACCCACATCTCCCCATTGCCTAGCCAATGCCCCGTACTCATTTCGAACAGTACCGTCAAGGGCCTCTTGAAGTGCTACACCAAAGGTTGTTGTGTTGGTGCGCACCCTCAAACGCTCTGGAATGGACTGGATAGTCATCCAGAGTTGCACAGCCACAGTCCAGTCTGTTGCGGCTGCCATGTAGGGCTTCTGGCCATTGAGCTCTCTGATGCGCTGCGCGTACTCTGCTGTTGCTCTCAACACGTCTGGGCCCGGGAGAACCTGGTGTTGCATCATGAGATACACTGTGTTCGAACCATACTCTCCCATGTAGTCGAGCCCATCCTGCAAATGGACATGGTAGTGTGAATCGTCAGGCATCTGCACCTTTGAGTGAAATGACGCCTCCAAGCTCTGGGTTCCCCAAAGGGATATGAAAAGCACCACAGTGAACACAAAGAAAGTGATGGCCTTGCATGCTACACTGTGTGCCGACCACCTTGCATAGGTCTCCAGAGCAGCGTGAGCATGGCCTCGGTCTGTCTTTTTGTTTTCCTTGCTGTTTCTCCTTTTCTCTTTAGACCTTTGCTGCCTTTCTTTCCATTAGTTGTTTTGGGGGTCCTTTCTTTAGACATTTTTAGACAATGATCTCGGCCTCGATCTTTTGAAGATGCTTCCAGCTTGCCATATCCACGCTGAAATGCAGCAAATGCTCCGGAGAAAAAGGTGAGCTGGATAACATAGTCTGAGAACACTGCAAGTGCGCCCACCTGCGTGAAGGATTTGATCCATATCATGTCCACGGCACTTCCAGCAAGGAAGCCAGCCATCGTGGTGATGCTGGTGAGTGTGATGGAAGCTGCCGCTGAGCCAAAGCTTGCAGCAAGACGGTCAGCCAAGGAATGGTCTTTAGGAGCTTCGAAGAATAACCCCGCCAAAATCATCATGTCATCAACTGCGATGCCCAAGATCATGAAGGACACGTACAACGATGAAGCCGTAAGCCTCAGGCCCAAGACCGTTAAGAACCCACTCAGGCCCACAGCTGCCAACATTGCAAGCACCGCGCTGGCAAGACATATGGTGGCTGTGAACCAGTTTGTGGGATTGCACCAGGAGTGGGTCTCGAAGTTGATGAAGTGCATTCCAATGCCACAGAACAACCAAACCAAGCCCGCTCCAATGAGAAACAGTGGGGCCTCCATGTAGGTACCTCGCAAAGCTTCCTGATAAGTGAATGCTGAAGTCAAAGCCGAGATTTTGACATCAAAGGTTGACGTTTTGCGATGTTCGGCTGCCCACAGTACGGCTCCATATTTCAAATCATCCGAAAGAGATTCATATCTGCAATAAATGCTGTCGGAAAACTCGAAGTGCCCATGATCATCCTCTGGATCTAGGTTTTGCTCGACTCGTGCTCGGGCACCCATCATGGAATAGCTGGAATTGCGAAAGCCTCGTCCACCCCTGTGTAGCTCAACTTGGTAAGGCAAATCCAAGGGGCAAAAAACAATGCAGGATTCATGCGGGTTGTCAAAGAAACGATTGCAATGCTTCTGATACACTTCCTTGTGCTCATTAGAGGTCACATTCATCAGAATTTCATTGTGAATTGAAGCGCTTGTTCATAGTATGGCGAATCCAAGATATTCTTTCCTCCAGGCACCGAGTAGAGGACTCGCAAAGGACGATCCAATTCCGGCAAAGCACTTTTGAAGATATCTTCTCCTTCAAAGTATTCCAGCGCTGTTTGTGAGTTTTGCTCCAAGGTCATCTCGTTCACATCCCTTTCAAATTCTACAAGTGGTAATCCTGTCATGCAAAGAAAAGCGAAGAGCATCCCTGCGAAGCAAAATTTGCAAGCGTGGTCGGCGAGAAGGAGACCCATGTGAGCGAAAGTTGTCTCGATTTCATTGCGGATCTTTTCACTCAAGTGATCTAGAAAATCAAAGAGGGCATGGAAGGGCCCGTGAGAAGAGCCAGGATCAGCATGATGAAACAAAGCTTCCCAACGTGCTTTCTCAGCGACCGTTTCTTCATCTCCTGCCCATCAAAGCCAAACGATAATGTCTTAAATTGTACTCAACTTTCAATGATATGCCTTTGCCTGCACCTAAAGCTTGGAACTGAATTGAGCGTGCAACCTACGCCCTAAGCCGGATGTGCAGCCCCATTTGTCCTGCGACTACTTCTTCCTGCGGCTCGTCAATATCCACCACTGCCTTCGCAAGGGCAAACCATGTTCAAAGATTGCACAAACAAGCTTGATCAAGAATCCCACGAAGGCATCGGTCAAAGCTCATTGGCCACTTCAGCATGGACCAGGACTCTCAAAAAACAAGAGGCGCAAAAAGGAAAGTGTGGTACAGGCTTGCAAAAATCTACGACCTACGCAACCCCCTCGGGATGTGATAGTGGCATCATGTGGCATCCGAATGCAAATCAACGTAATGTGGACGAGAATCCAGAAAGGAATCAACAAATAGATACATATACTGACTAATTAAAGGTGTTCTCGGGATTGACTCCTTGCGAGGGTCAACCTTATCGCGCCTCCAAATCACCGACCCATGTTCCACACAAATACAATCCTCCACAAATTCACTTGGTCGAGTGTTTTTGCTCATCCCCGTGAGTCCGGCCGCCTGCTCAATAGAAATGTCTCGTTCGGATTCAAAGTGAACGTCCACCTGCCAGAGTACACAGTACACAAATACCAAATAAAAATAAAACAAAATAGCCGTTGTCCAAAGAGACTAATGTTTCTGGTCAAAGGCGACAGCATGCAATCCAAACTTGTGAAGAGTAGGGCATACATAAGTGCAAGAAACCCCAAGGGTTCAAAAGGGAACCATAAATGAAAAAGAAGAGCAAATGGGGCGGGTGGACCTGGATGCAATTTGAGTTCTACTTCTTGTCAAACCCTTGACAACCTTGGAGTCGATATGTATTCCATGAATCTGCAATGAAGAGTTGCATCAACTCGCCATGCCTGGGCGCCCAAATCCTGTATGGCTGTTCTGTATATATACACTACATATTCGGCTTTTCTAGGTTCTATGTTGTTGCGTGGCACATACATCTGACACCCTTCTAAGTGGACTTCTCAAGTGGCCTGTCTCCTTTGCAAGTGCAGGAAAGCGCAAAGTGGGGAGAAAATGTCACGAAACGGATTGTGCGCGTCGAGGTTCGCACAAAGTGGTTGTCATGGTTATATAAATCAAAGATAAAAGCCGCAAAATGTTTCAAAGTGGCATTGGCGCACGCAAGCTCGTGCAAAAGGAGCGAAAGTTGGTCTTGTCAACACCGGCATACCAACGAAAGGCCAAAAAGCATCGGGTTGGCCCACGGGTGAGTTTACAGTCCCTGCATTCAACAAGGCGAACTGAACTATTGCTCTGGAGAGCCTGTTCGAGAGCCTCTAAAATCACAACAGATTTCAGCACAAACGTGCCGAGAGGATCCGAGAGGCGTTTCCAAATCAAATGAAGAACAGCTCCTTGGAAGTGCTTGGAAGAAAACACGCCAGGATTCCCACCTCTTCCACAAGCTGCAAACCTTCTGGATCCCTTGCGAAGGTACATTTTCCAACAGCTCGGCCATCCATAATTACCTGGACCTCGTGACCACTGAGTTTCTTTAGGCAATCCAAATTTATGTGAATTAAAAGTAACACATTTGTGGAGTCATCTTTTGGTCCCTCACATCCTGCTTTAGGGCATTTCACTCACACTTTCAGATCTTTCAGCCCTTTTGTTTGTCTAGGCGCGCCGTAGAAAGTCAGTGAATAGGGGCGGAGGTTTGAACCGGGGGCAAAAACCTTTGGAACTTTTGCCCACGGACCTCCGGACTCCAACCACTTGGCATGTGGTGTTCGTTGAGATTTTATCTCTAGCAAGCTCGTGAATCTAAACTGTCAACCCAACATCGCCGAAGGCCTCTGCCAAGCGGCCAGTTGCCGCGGCAAGCTCCTGCAACAGTGTTGAAATCTATTCTGAGCTATGGCAAAGCACTTTGTATACCTACTCTGAGGCTGCATCCTCTCCCTCAAAAAGGTGCTTTTCTTGTGTTTGACTCGCTGTTCTCTTTCTTGTCTTGCTACTTGGCTTGTCTTTTTGCATCGCCTTGTCGCTCAAAACCTTGTGGCATTCGACTAGGAGTTGATCCATGTGACCTTCGAGTGGTATGTTAGTATGGACACCTTGACCGGCAGGTAATGAAGGTTGAGAGGGTTCAGAAAGCAGAAACAGGTATGTATATATATATATATAAATATTATTTATACATAATTATACATATACATAGTGTGAAATGCACAGTTGATCCATGCCGATGTCTGGCCGTTCCTCGAACACAGCATGTGGTGCGCGGGAAGAGGTGCTTGAGCAGGAAAACATACGGTGACAGGGTCTGGGGTAGTTCGACAGGGTTGGACTTAGGATGGTTTTGTACCAGATCCACATTGGTAGCGGAGCCCCTAAACAAGGGGCAGGTTCATGTTGGTTGTTTGGGGATTCTAGGCATAGGTTGCCACACGGCAAGACCAGGGGTCGAGCCATGGGGACAAAGCGGACAGACGCCTGCAGCGGCTTCTGGAGCGCATTCAATGCCTGCGTCACAGTTGCCGTGGGCCCAGATTCCGAGCTTCGTGGCAGGGGAGACGAACTTGGAAGATTTTGCAAAGAAACTTAGTTTCTTAGCATCTATATGGCCAGAGGAGCACATCCAACATTTGGGCCCTCGTGTTGTGCTTCAATGCGATTCCATTGCGTTCAAAAACAAGATACCAACCACCAAGTTGAAGTCGAAGGAAGGGTGCACTGCAATCTTGGAAGCATTGGGTGTCCAATGGGGTCGCTTTCAAACAGAAGATCGGTATCTCAAGTTTGAGCGGGCCATATTCTCTACACAACAGAAGATGGACGAGAGCAACGACAGTTACATTGCCAGACATGAAGCATGCTTTGAGGACCTCCTTCAAAAGGACAAGAAGGTTACTTTAGAGGAAGTACAATCGTATTGATCAGGCATTCCACGCTCACGGCCGAGGAGAAGAAAAGGATCATCGTCGACAGCAATGGGATCCTGAAGTACGAGAACACCCGGGAGTCGATGCGATTGTTGGGATCAAAGTTCTTTCAAGAGCTTCAAGGGGCATCCCGTGGGAAAACCAAAACATACGACATTCACAACATTGAGGAAGATCCAGATCCACAGATCACTTCTTCTCAGACAGGGGGGACGGGGGTGTTCATGAGTGATGAGATGGATGAAGAACAAGGTTTGCACACCATGCTGCAACAAGGCGATGAAGACGCCACCCTTATCAATGAGTTCGAGGACCAGATCATTGAGGCCGTCCAGGAGTCCGAGGAGCTTTCAAGTTGCTTCTCGGCATGCCAGCAAGCCAAAGCACGCCTTCCCGAACGGGCTCGTCATCGGGGTTTTTGGCCACTCAAACCCTCCGGACAGTTTTCTAAAGGAAAAGGCTATGGGGCCAAGAAGGGTCAAAAGGGGAAGGGATATTAGTTTTCCCAACCTAGCCGACGCACCTTAGCTGAACGGATAGGCAACTCGACTTGTCGAGTGTGCGGCAAGCCGGGTCATTGGAAACGAGAGTGCCCGGAGCGCGCTGGTCGGGGAAACGAGATGGCTAGCATGGCCGTGGACTTCATGGAGGACGCACCGGAGGAGCTCATTTTGGACCTGCCGGAAGGGATCCAGGCTGATCGAACCAAACCGTACAAAAGCTTTGATATTGTTTTCCAAACGAACGGACACCATGACAAACACAGTGATGTTGAAGCAGGCAAATTTCATGTGGGTAGGTACCACACCCAAAACGGGGGCTAAATTTAGCCCCCCGGATTTCGGATTGTTTTGGGGTCATGGATTTGGGATTGAAAGACATGATGAAAACGGCATTGATGTCTGCTCGGAGGATATCACGGCCGATCAATGACGCTTCAACGAAGACACGCCGGACCAAAGGTCCTTTGGAGACCGCCTTTCCACCACAGGTCAGTTTTCCAAGTTTTGGAGACATTCATTTTTCAGAAGAGGAAGGCGATGATGAAGCCATCCTAGATAAAGGAGCCAGCCGCACGATCATTGGAAGTCATCGAGTTGAACCTCTGTTGAAATCTTTGAAAGGGGTCAAGGTCAAGAGGGGCCCCTCGAAATGTGCATTCAGATTTGGGAATTGTGGCATATTGTGGCATGCTCCAAAGCCATGAAGCACTTTACTTGGAGAGACGTGGAAAAGGCTGGTTGCGTGTCGAGGTCGTGCCGGGAAACACACCGCTTCTTGTTTCGAATGCTGTTGTTGAAGGTATGAGAGGTATTGTTGACCCCCATTACAGTCAGATGAGGTTTCATGGGAGTGGAGATGTTTTGGTGTTGAGGAGGGTCAGAAAGAAACTAAATTGTGTAAAGGTCAGGGATCTTCTGAACATTCATTTTTCAGATGGATCTGGCGAGACGTGTTTTCACACACACACACAACAGCACCACAAGAGACAGCACCAAAGGGGAAAACACAGACCCACCACCACAAGGCAATGCATGAAAGAATTCAAAATGAGAAGGCACCAAA